TATGTGTATATATAATATATATATATAGATTAATATATATATATATATATATATATATATATATATATATATATATATATATATATATATTCATAATATCTAGTATTATATGTGTTAAATTTTATGTGATCTTGTAAAATGAATTTTGTATTTTATATATGAATTTTGCATATGACTTTTTCATATATATATGAAATAAAAAAATTTTAATTTTATATATCAATCCTTGTATAAACAAAAATGACTTGTGTACGAATATAAGTTGTGCGACAATTAACGCGAAATTGCGCGCGAAATGAACGTAAAAGTTTCCGTAAAGTTTCGCGATAAGTAAACGTGTCCCCGTGAGTTCATTTATTCGTCACCGGTTTCGTTTAACTTTACCACCTCTCTCGCGGGAGCTAAGCCGCGAAATCGAATTTTATATTTTACGTGTCTCGGGGAAACGTCTTGCTTGTTTTCACGTCAGAGACTCCTTGTTGTGTCGCAAGCCTGCAATCCGCTTCTCTCTTATTACTATTTACGGAACATACTTGCACGAACGATAACAATGAGAAGAAGGAAGGAAGGAAGGAAGGAAGGAAGGAAGGAAGGAAGGAAGGAAGGAAATTAGGAAGGAGACTACGTGGAAACAGTATCTTCGTTCCTCTCCTCCGACGTACCGACGAAATCTTAGCGTTTCTAATTATCGCGCTTCAATCCGCCGTTCACGTGCGGTCGACAGTTTCGTCTATGAAGAGAAGTTTTACCGGTCTCGTTATCGTAGCGCGGGCTGGATTCATTAGACGCATCGGCATTTACGCGTCAAATACGGCCCGGCGGATCTGTATGTTTGCGAAATGGGTAACGCACGCCGCTCCAATAATTTTAATATATTTATTCGTTAAACACGCGCCGGTGCACGTTTGTTTGCAGGTGTGTCAGCGAATTTGCCGAAAATGCCGATACCATCAATTTCCAGCCCGGAGCTCTTTCGGTCTAATGTTTAATCGGTATTAGTAGGTCATTGGAATTCGAGCTGCAACTCCGGTCGCTCCCCCCCCCCCCCCCCCCC